CAGTTTTGTCTTGAATATTCACAAATGTGCATATATGAACATTTATAGTTTTCATCATTTGTTTGTTTGTTTGTTTTTTTTGACATACGACCGGCCTAGATGGTGTTTGTTAAGTTTTTTTTTTTGGACAAATCAATGTTTATTAATACACTTGAAATGACGATTTCTATTATTCGGATTTAACTGAGAACCGAACAAAATAACCTGAAAACCAATTTACCCGAACATTATGTAACATCCAGAACCCTGAGGTACTCAATTTCTTTATTTTTGGCCTTTTTGGAAAAGGCTCACGACGTGAGTAATGGTGGTCACGTCGTGAGTGACCATTGACCATTTGACCCGCATTATTGAAGACTCACTATGTAAGGCATGAGGACTCACGACGTAAGCAAGGCCTGATAACCCAAAACCCTAATTTTCAAGTATTTAATGGAATGAGAGGGCTAGGGTTGCCCATCCTCACCCTCTCTCACTCTCTAACCTCCTGAAAACCCTAGATTCGACCTCCTTCAGAGCTTTGGCCATTGTTGGTGATCTTGAAGATCTTATTTGGTGGTTTTTGTGCATTGAAGCGGAAGAGGACTCTTGTGGGGCTCCATTTTAGCAATCTATTTTCTAGATTTTTGGGTCTTCCTGAGATTTTCGACCTCTATAAGTCATAAAGCTCTTATCTTTTTGCCTCTTGCATGTTAGATCTAGGTTTTGGAGCTTTGATTTACATGGTTGGGATGTGTAGCATGCACGGGATCTATAAAGTTGACAACTTTATGGATCATTGAGACATCTTCTGTATATGAGGCTTTGGATCTGAGTTTTGGTGTAGGTTTTAGACTCCAAGCATGAGTCTTTTGATCTTCTTACCTCTCTTTTGACCTAGTTAGTGTCTAAGTCATGCAATGAACATGCATGACTAAAAAGCTATGATTTTTATAGTCCTTAGGGTCGAGGAAGGTCCTCTTGATGGTCCCAAAGAATATCTTAAAGGATTAAGAGCTTAATGCTCTAAGTTGGTCAAAATAGGTCTCACGATGTGAGAAATGGGAATCTCAACGACGTGAGAAATGAGGTTGTCCCGATCTAAGAAATCTGGTTTGATGATTTGTGACTAAGTCGACTTGTTGAGTGGGGGCCAGGTCGAGTCCATTCTCACGATGTGACCAGAGAGCAGGTCACAACGTGAGGGTGAGCTGATGGGAGTGTTGACCGTTGACCCTGGGCGTTGACTTTTGATCAGAGTTGACTTTTGGTCAACTCTTGGTTTTGAAGGGTAGACTAAGAGTTTACCTTGTATGATTATCTAGGTGTGGTCTAGCATCGGTGTAGCTGACCGTGAGAGCAACAGTAGTTGACTATCGATCGAAATGTGAGTTTGCTCACTATACTGTAGGAGACTAGGATATGTTATGTGCTTATAGTCTTTGTGACTCCTGTTGTATGTGTTATATGCTTGTGTGCATGTATGCTATATGTATGTGGGGTGAAATAGACCCGGTACAACCTTGAGCTGACATATGAGTTGAAATAGACTAGGTGGTGAAATAGACCGGGGGGTGAAATAGACCCGGCATGTAACACCCCAAAATTTTCAACAAATTTAAACTTTTCAAAACAACCCTTTTACTAATAAAAGTGTTACAAAATGATTGTATCCAAAACATTATTTAAAATCAGTGTCTCCCAAGATCAATGACATAAAATGAGGATGGGTACGGTCACACCTTCGCCTTGCTACGATTCTCTGAAGTACCTGAAACCATAAACCAAAACTATAAGCACAAAGATTAGTGAGTTCCCCCAAAGTACCACCACACAAACAGGTAACATATACCAACAAACAGCATGCATAAAGAACCTTCAGTCCGAATGGAACGCCCCACCGGCCTACAGTCTATCTGGTACGCTCACAGAACCTTCAGCATGACTCGTACGCCACACCGGGACTTCAGCCTATCTGGACCGTCTCCGGGCCTTCGGCCTGAATAGTATGCCCCATTGGCCTTCAGTATATTTGGGATGCCATGGGTCTGTTGGCCTTCAGCACATAGCAGGACCGCCTCAACCCAACCACACATACACCGTGTCGACACACATATATATAGCAGACAAGCATACAATTAACCAACCAATAACAAACAAACAGATCTTATATATTACTAAGCATAACATCATCCTATCTTCTAGGATAAAGATCTAACAGATCACTACATTACTCAAACATACGATAAACAAGGATAACAATCCAAAGGGTGGCCCTTGGTGCCTTAGACCCTTGAGTACAGTGAGGAAAACTCACCTCGCAGATTGAACAGAACTGATGGGGACCGACTCTGAATCTCAGCTCTCTAACCGATACCTGTTTCCAGCAAGTGACCAATTCCATCAAAATATCCAAAATACCGTCAAGGTCCAACTTTGTCAAAGTCAACGGTCAAGGTCAACAGTCCATGTTGACCTAACATGTCATGTTCCGCCTGCACCCAAACAGTCGGGAAAATCCCGGCCAACACGCCGTGTTGACCTAGAAACATGTCGTGTTTTCCGAAACTCCAACAACTTAATACATTAAGCCGTTTTCCTTGATTTCAAGATCCCCAAAGCTCAGATCTAGTCCGAAATGTGATCCATAAGGATAAAGTTTCCAACTTTATCCATTGGGACTATCCAAAAAAGGTCCAACACTCAATCCATAAAGCTTAAAAAGCAAGGACTAAACCAATAAGCACTCAATCCTTAAAGTCTGAAATCCATCCTTTCCAGAAGTGATTCAAACACCTAAACCATCCCCAAAGGTTGGTGATTTTTAGACATACATGTCTAATGTATGTCTTGAACCCATATTAGGTCAAAATGAGGATTTATGACCTAATCTCTATGCATGGCATCAAAACTTGATTATAGACCAGATCCAAGATACTACTAGGCCACCTTGACCTGAAGATTCATAAAGTTGCAAACTTTATGCGATCTAACCATTCCAACATACAAGAACAAGAAGAAAAAGGGACAAAACCCAAGATCTAACAACTTTGAATGATAAAAATCGAGTCTTGGACACTTCAAAGGTCCAGAAGAGTGTCACACTAGAGGAAGGGGGCTTGCTTACTGGATCTTTGCTTCCTTCTTCCACCTTCTTCCTTCTTTACCTCCAAAAACACAAAACTAGCTTCAAAAATGGGAGGAAAGATGATTAGGATTTCCTTCAGAGCTTGAGGGTTGATGGGGGCTGAGGGTGAACTAACCCTAGCCTCCGCATTCCTTTAAATAGGGAGCAAAACCCAAAAGATTAGGGTTTCATCACCAGCCATCAACACGCCATGTTCCATGAGGCAACACGGCGTTTTGCCTTAATAAAATTTGTGCTTCCTTATATTTGGACATGCCGTGTTGGTTCCTCCAACACGTCGTGTCAAATCCTCAAAAGGTGATTCTTTCCCCAAAATTGCTCCTTAATTTCCGGGTGTTACACGACACAACCTTGAGCTGGCATATGAGTTGAAATAGACCTGGGGTGAAATAGACCCGACACAGCCTTGAGCTCGTAGATATGTATGATATGCAGTATTTTGGGGAACTCACTAAGCTTCGTACTTACGGTTTTTAGTTTATGTTTCAGGTACTTCCGGATCGAACGGGAAGAGCTCGGGTGATCGCATCGCACGCACCACGATTTTTGTTTTATTTGACTCTGATGTATTGAGATGATTGATTGACACACTCTGATTTTCCTTTATGGCTTTATGAACATGTTTTGGTTGATAATTTTATTATTATGAAAATGAATTTTTTGCTCTTAAATTATGGGACGTTTCACCTTATTTGGTTATTGGTTAATATTGTAGAAGTAACTTCCCCCCCTGATTAAACTGACGAATAATACCCCTACATACATTCATAACAGGTCTAACAGTAAGAAAATACCCCATCCCCCTTAGTAACTTGTTACCCTCTCTCGTTTATTTTTATATTATAAAAAATGAGAGCGAGAATTTAAAAAGTTTGTGTTCTTTTATGTTTTACATGTTAGATGAACCGTTTAATTCTAAACTATGAAATAAGAAAAAAAACAATGAAAACTACAAATGTACATATATGTAAATTACAAAAAAAGCATTGTTTTTATTATTATGGTATGACTTGCTTATAAAATGGCATAGGGGTGGTGTAATCATGTTGGTTTTGAAAAACCATTCCTATACAAATATTAGTTCTCAAAAAAACTTTTGTTTTTATCGATATTTAGTCACTTTCATTTTTTTTTGTATATTATATATCATCTAACATGTTGAAATTGTTCATATATTATCCTTGTAACCTGCAGCAACCGATAGTAAAGGTAATATGTGAGCAACTTTAACAAGTTGGATGATATATGGTGTACAGAAAAGAAAGGGAATAAACATGAACAAATCAAAAGTTTGTTACCCTCCTGAGTTTCTTTATAAGTTTTATCTAAGGGTGAGTAATTAATCTTATGATATGTTTATAATTGGTCATTATCATCATTTTACATTATGTTAGAATCATTAAACATTTAAACCTAATGATTTTATATAAAGAGAAAAAGACACCAAATCTTTTAAATTTAAGCAAAAAATAATTTTGTTTTAATTTTCCGAAAATAACCATCAATTTTGCATGTGATATATGTGAATTGGCACAATACCTGCAAAATTAGGTTAAAGGTTGTGAAAAATATTTAAGGAAAACAAAACCAAAAGGGCTTTCATCAACACCAAATGATTTTGTTGGTACGACCTACAAAATTATTGAAATCGTTTGAGTCCAGTTAGTAAAGGGATTTTGCATGTATCACCTGCGAAAAGGGTTTTCTCAAATCGTACCTATGAATTGCATGCCCTTATGACGATTCATATTGTGAAATCTAACATATGTACTATGAAATTAATAAAATGATTTCATTTTTTACAAATTCTTCTTTTTGATACATTAACAATTTAGAAAACAATAGTTTGATAACATTTCATCTAGAAAGAATCATGACCTTAAATCAGACCGAGTTTATCGTTGTTGCTTGTATTGGTGGGTCGTGGTAGTTAGTTAATGAGCAAACTTAATATGTTATACCTTTTGTTAATAACTACAATATAGAATTTCTAAAAAAATATCAATTTTCCTAATTTATTATACTTTTTCAAAATAAAGACAATACTTAATATTAGTTTGTCTTTTTAACATCCTAAATCACAGTATATTGTAGATATTATGGATGATATTGGCGTGACACACTTGAAAGTAGTTATTTGGAAAAGTTTCAAGTGTTGTATGTCTATTTGGTACATGTTGGTGATGCTTTGGTGGAAGAGGCTCCGACTATTCTATAAGATGTAGTGAATCAATTAATTGTTGGTGGAAACCTGTGTAGCATAAATGAATCTTGTAGGAACCGATCTAGCAGAAAAGCAAAAGTCTCCAGTGAGTACCGAGCTAGACGAATATAAGGAAATACTCAAGCAACTATTTTTATATCCATGAGTATTCATGGATGTGTTTTATGTGAAACACCAGTATAACCATCAATTCACTATGTAGATCCTAAAACTTATAAATGTATTGATGACGATAATGGTGCTACATATTACAATCATGTTGTTATATCTGAGTATGATGCTCATACTTGTGGTGGTGATGTTGGTAAATATGATGATATACATTACTTAGATGCACTAACCTCTATGGATGATGTCATTCTAGTTCTACACGGGAACTAATAGAATTATTTAGATGACTATATGACATTGAAAATAGTAATTCTGATAATGAACGGTCGGATGAAGAACACATAAACCAGTACAAAAAACACCATTCTATAGTATTGCATGCTATATCAATGTGTCCTGACCCAGTTTATGCATCTATTCCATAACACAACCAAAAATCGTCACAAAAGATCAAATTCCTTCAAACACTACAACTCATATAATTCAAAAGTACACATATTTAAGGCATATATTTTTTATTAAACAACAATTTGGATACATAAAAATTCACACATAATATATATATATATATATATATATATATATATATATATATATATATATATAGGAGTAAGATCAAATGAGAACACCTAAAAGGTTGAGAACGCGAGAACAAATCTGAACCATTTAAAAAACTAAATCTAAGGTTATTATCGAATGGGCCATTTATGTAAATTCTTAAAATTAAAGGAATTAAAGTGTAATTTTAAAATTGTCTTAAGGTTACAACAGTAATTAAAACTTTAGCTAACTCCTAAAATTTCTCAATTCTCGTCTATTTCCTTTCATATTCCCGTCTTTTTCTTTCTCCCTTGGATACCTAGGGCTTCATGGTTAGTTCCGCCTCCTCATCGGCTCATCCATGCTTCAATTGCTTCGAATCAATCCAACCGACTCACAATCGCTTCTTCCCCGTATCTCTACAGATCCCGATCAAAGAAAGGTACGTTCGATTTGCTGCTGTTATTCGATTCAATTGCGTGTTTATATTATGAAATTTGGTTTTTGATCCTGATAATCGACTTTCTATTTCCTGAATTTGTGGTTTGTTAGTCTCGATTGTGGAAATCTCTCTTAGGTTTTTGTCTATAGATTTAAAATCTACATGTGATCAATCACATTGATAAACTGTTCTTTCTGATGCTTTACAAATTGTTGAAGTTTGATTCGAAGAGCGAGATCTCTGTACATTTTGAACATTCTGTTCGGTCGTTTTTCAGGAATTTTTAAGTATGATTATGTTAAATAGCCTCTTTTACAAGTAGATCATGTTCTTTCCTCTACTGAAGTTGTTAATCGAACATCGTAGCTGTTGTATTTCGTGGTATAACGCTTAAACCACACCAAAACCACAGATGATTTACTGAATTCTGTGATAAGGAAACTGCCCGATTAGTTTCTCACTTCAATAATGATCCCAATGTCTCATATGAGAAAATTGCCTGGATTTCATTCGTTTCTAATTGAACTCTTATTATCACAGAGATGGAAACCTTCCTATTCACATCAGAATCCGTGAACGAAGGCCACCCAGACAAGCTCTGCGATCAAGTCTCAGACGCCATTCTAGACGCATGTCTAGAACAAGACCCGGAAAGCAAAGGCGGTTGTGAAACCTGCACTAAAACCAACATGGTTATGGTCTTCGGTGAAATCACCACCAAAGCTAAAGTTGATTACGAGAAAATCGTCCGTACAACTTGCAGAGAAATCGGATTTACATCTCCCGAAGTCGGACTCGATTTAACTGTTTTATGCATTGCTTCTACAGGTGAGTTATTTTTTGTTTTCCCTTCACTTCTTCTCAGTTGTTTCTCGAATGAGATAAAAGATTTAGGGGAATCAAACAATTTTAGAACCAAAGGTAATTTATACTATGATATTAATTTATGATTAGAAGTGTATTCATTTTTTGTTAATGATATATATATTCATGAATGGATATAATTACAAGTATGTATTTTATTTTTTGTTCATGTCTCATATTAATTTATGATTAGAAGTGTATTCATATTTGATATATTCATGTATGAATATAATTACAATTATAGGAATTTATATGTATTTTTTATTTTGTTCATGTCTCTTTCATTTATAATTTGATGTCATATGTGTTTTTCTAAATCCTTTTCATTTAATTGATTGTTAATTTTATTTATTTCTTTATTTGACAGTTTGTAGAGGAAATCGTGATGCATCTACAAACGGGATGTTGGAGTGCTAATATACAACCAAACAATACAAAGTGGAAAAGATATCGCCTTATTCATTTATGATTATATAATAATAGTTAATTATTTTTATTCGAATTTTTGTTTATGTTGTATTCATATGTGATTATAGAAAAATAGATATGTATTACATTGTAACTTTTTGTGTTACTATTATTTATCAATAGATGTATAATCTAGATATATATCAAATATGTTTTCATTTATTTATGATTATAGTTGTATTGTAATTTTTCTCTATAAATTGCGTTATATTAGTTTATTATTACAACTTAATTCATCTATTCATTCATGATTACAGCGGATTCATATATGATTACAAATATGTTTTATTTTTGTATGATTACACATATTTGGTTGAAATGATAAATTCATCAATTTTTTTTGATATACTGGTAAAAAAAACAAAAAAAACGTTTTTTAATCATGGTAAAAAAGTTTTTTTTTTAAATAATATATTTGATTAAAAATATATTAAATTCATTTATAATATTTAGGTAAAAAATCAATTAATTAGACAACATCTCATGATTGTAGGAAATCATTAATTATCCATATTTAATTACATTGTAAAATTCCTTTTACGCCCTTATGGAATGATTGGTCTACAATTGTTCTCGCGTTCTCAACCTTTTAGGTGTTCTCATTTGATCATCTCCCTATATATATATATATATATATATATATATTATATATATATATATATATATATACATACATACATACATACATACATACATACATTTTTACATATAGCTTGTTATGTGTGATATTTTACAAACTTATTTTATTATTCTTAAAATCTTGAACATATATCTTGGAAATTTCACCGTATTTTTTGTATTATTTTATACATGACTAAAGGCTTATCTCACGAGGCATGAACCAAGTAAACTGACCAAGAGGTCAATTAGAAAAGACTTTTCTCCCTGAAAAACTTGTTCAAGCAAGAATAAGGGATGATCCCGAATTTTTAGCATATTGTGTTACGTTATCTATGTATATAAAGGCAAGATAATCTGATGACACACATGTTCACTTACACTCTTACTTGTTCTTGAGTATCTCTTGAAGACCCTGTAATGTTACACATACTCTGCTTGCACTTGTAATTTCCTTTTTACTAATAAAAGTTCTAAGGCGATGTGACATTGGTCACCTCCTGAGATTTTAATTATGTCGGAAATCCCGAAGGATTAAGGGCTTTCCTTGTACATCTTTGTGTTATTTAAATTACATTTACTTTTACACTATTATTGGTTTTGTTTTAAACACTTATAGGCATTTTCTTGAACATTTATTTACTTGCATATATCTTTAGTGCTTGGTAATAATCTTGAGATATTCCTTAATATTTTGACATTTTCAACATCTTAAAACCTTTTCAACATACTCAATGGATTCAACTGTTGGATTAGGTGTCTAAGTCCATAACTATAATTGGTATGTACTTGATTTGATAGTAGCATGGTCCTTTTGGGTTGCCTTCACCATAGCAACTTGACAGGATGACTTTTGGAGAGAGAGGTTAATGAATGATTTATTAATATATTATAAGATTAATATATTAATTAGAAATCATATTATTTAATTAATATTTAATCAGAAATTAATTTGATATTAATTTTTGGATTAAAGGAACTGATTAAAAGAGCGGGGACTAGTTTTGCAAATCGTTGATAATTGCAAAGTTGGGCTGATGGACTCCTCATTGATGGGTTGGACGAAATCTATTGGAGGCCCTATAGAATTTCATCCAAGGCTTCTACTGGAGGAGGTCCATGGACTGCTTAAAGCCTAAGCAAGGAAATTAGGGTTTCCACCTGAAAACCCTTGTAGCCTCAGCTATATAAAGACCCCTTTGCATATGAAATTCGGCCCTATGCATTCTTAGAGAACCCTAGCCGATTTTTGAAGTGCTTCATCACCTCTCTCCTCTCATCCTTTGCTATTGGTGTTTGTGACTCCATTAGAGGTACAACACTTGAGGCACTAAGCTTTCAACAGTCAAGATCATCTAATGAATTCTTGTTATTACTAGATAGCAAGCAAGGCAATCTTCTAACCCTAGTTGTCATATAGATTTCGAAATTGTATGCTAGTATTAGGGTTGTTGCTTTGGAATTTCTATTTGCATGTATAACTAGTGAAAACTTAGATCCAAAGCAATTAGGGTTGCATGATCACATAGAAATGTTGTTATGCTTAAAACCCATCATCAACAATATTAACACTATTTTTGTCCCATTTTCTAAACATATGTATATTTGTATCTTGGATTAAGTTAAGATTCCAAAACATTCTTGTAGTCAAATTCTTTAAAAGAAGATACACTAACTCTCTTTCATTCTCAAGATCATCACTACATTCAAGATCTTCAAACACATTTTAACATCTTCATTTAATTACAATTCATTTTGTTAAAACTCTTCATACAAAACATCACATCACACTTTCTGATCTGGTTACAAAGTTATTAACGTGATTTTTGACCAAAATATAGCTAATAACTACTATTCAAAAAATACATGAATAAATATCCATTTCTTAGTCGACAACAAATCACGTAAAAGATTAGTCTCCAACACACTTTCACATGAGTTTTTAGCATATTAAGAAATACTTATTCAAATATTCATACACTAGTAGTATCAAAATCTAAAAACTATATAAATATTCTCAGTCTTCTTAGCCATATCTAACTATTATAAGGACCATCGATGATCAAGGTTATAAGAGCTTGTTTACTTCATATTTATTGGGACTTCTAACCTATCCTCACCTAAACACACCCATATTTATTAGGACTTATGGTTACAATTTTTTTAATGTGCTAACAACTCAAATTCCCTAAGACCTATAATATATATTATTCAATGACTAAGTACGAAATGTTGTCTCTCACTAAAATGTACAAACATCAGAGATGACACCTGTAAAACTCTCACTTATTAGTGATAAATGAGAATTTTGCAGGTGTTACATATGAAATTGTCTTATCTCAATAAAATATAACTGAGAAATGAGAATTATTATATGTGTCACTTTCTAAATAGTCTTGTTTCAGTAAAAATAAATACAACTAAGAAAAGAGGATTTCATAAGCGACACCTATAGAATTCTCATTTCTCAATGAGAACAAAAACTATAAATCAAATTGGAGCCTAGAATTTAGTGATCTAAGACACTACTATAACTAAGAATCAATGTCTTCAAAATAAAATCAATAAAAACTTCGATCTTTGAAACACAATTGTGAGTGGCCTTAAGAGCTAGGTGTTTCAAATTAACATTCATAGAGTTTTCATGTTTCATTTTCTTTTAGAACAAATTACTGAAATCGTCCCTATGGTTTGGTCAAAATTACGTGTTTGGTCTTAACTTCTTTTTTGCACTCGGATCATCCCTATGATTTGTTTTTATTGCGCATTTGATCCCTGATCGATGTAAAATGACAACTATACCCTTTTTATTTTACTTTTATTTTTATTTTTGTTATTTTGTTATTGTTTTTTTAAATAAATATTATGTATGAGAGGCCCACCCCATCCCCTTCTTCTCACTTCTCACTCCCTTTCTCGTTCCAGATCTCTCTGTCACACCTCTTACCTCGTCGGGCCACACACATCGTCGGTGCATCGAAGCAAAAAGTAGCCAGAGAAGGCAAGGCAATCGATGGTCGAACAAACCCTAAGTTACCGAACATAGAAACGTTGGAATTTTCCATCGTCGGCGACCGTGCTTCATCGGTGGCCTTACACTCTCCAGCGACTCTTATCTACTTCCTCTCCCTCTTCGAGAACTCCACAGATTGTTGAATGATCTGCTTGCCAACAAGAATCTAATTGACGAATGTGTGGGTACATGGGTTCGTCGGAGCATCATAACGGTGTGAAGTAAGACCGATTTCGGAAGCGGGTTCAATTGTTTTCCGGATTCATTCTTTCTACGCCCCCCATGACTCTTAGAACACGAATTTGAGGTGTGATTTGATTATTTTTTTCTCGATTGATGCTGGTTTTCAGAAATCATGTTTTGATTTTTTTGTTGAAATACTTAATTGAAATCATGTTTCTTTTCCTGGATTTCATGGAAGTTTAGTTCAAAATCAGGGTTTGGTTTATTTTTTCTGGTTGAATTCATGGATATTGAAACGATTTTATGGTTTCTGGTTGAAAATGTGTCAATTTGATGGAAGTTTTGTTAAAAATCATGTTATGATTTTTGATTTCATGATTTCTGGAACCTCTGACAGCACCTCTGTTCAATATTTTTCTGGTTTGATTTTGATTTTGACTACAGGTTTACGGATTTTTTTTTTGTTTGATTTGGTTTTGATTGTACATGGGGTTTGTTGTTCATTATTTTTGGTTCAGGTTCAATTTATTTGGTGTGTTGACTGGTGGTGGCTTTCGGTGGTGATGTTGAGAGTTTGAAGGAGGTGTTGCCTAAGGTTACGGTGGTGGTTGATCACAGGTTGACGGAGGGGAGGGGTGGAGGGAAAGGGGAGGGTGAAGGAGTGTATGTGTTGGTGGGGCCATATATTTATTAATTCATTTTTTAGTTAATAAATAATAAGTAAATAATATAAAAACTAAAAAAAAAATACGAAGGGTAATATAGTCTTTTAAAGTGTGCGAGGGACGAAAGACGTTATAAAATCAAACTATAAGGATGGTCCGAATGCAAAAAGAAGTTAGGGACCAAACATGTAATTTTGACCAAACCATAGGGACGATTTCAGTAATGAAGTAAAAATGCAAAAATAGTTTTTCATACATCTAAATTTATGGGACCGAAACCAATTTTGTATGTGATACTTGTGAAATTGGCGTAGTACCTCAAAAAAGACTAAAACATAGTTGTTTTGGTATTTTTGCAGATACTATACCAATTTCATAGGCATGGTCTGAAGTGGTGGGTTTTTTCAAAAATGGATTACTTTTTGATTAAATCATGGAGAATTCTTTAGAAAGTTTAGTTATATTTGTCT